GTTCTTGAATGCGCCTTCACTTCCCGCTTGGTGTACTCAGGATATGCTAACATGAACGAAAAGGATTGAGGATTTTTATCATATAATTAAAAATTACAATTTTCGTCATTAAATATTGCCCCCTCCCCCAACATTGTTTAGGGGGAAGGGGGTTATTTTAAGAGAATTCCAAAATATTTCATCTCAGAATATTCATCCTTCATTAGCACTCAAAAGTTTCCAATATTTTTGTTTGATGTTTTTATTGTTAATTTTAGTGTAAAAGTATTTAAAAATACCAGAGGTAAAGTAGGGAAATAGCACAATCCTTACAAACTCCTTACGAACGCACAATTTATTACTTCCTTACAAACTCCACTTACTTTCAGTGAAACATAATTATTCTACACAAAGTTGAGTGTATAGCCCTCTGAGCAACAGAAGATTAATTCGACACTAGAGTATTACAACTCATTGTCAACATTTTTTTATTTTATTACACCAATGATAGTTAAGAGGGTTTTGATGTCCACCCTACCCATGGAGATTGCTTAGGGAGTATGGTTCTTCCAATTGATTTCTAATATGTTATGTTTACAAAATTACCTAGCGTCAACAGTGCCATTTCTAACCACCAAGGGATGGAGGCCGCTTAATGAAACAGAAGGTAAGTCGTGGCTAAACTCAGTAAAGGTCTTTCAAAATGAAAAACACTAAATATCAGTGTCAGCAGTGCCTGCTTGGAGACTCTGACTATTTAAATTAAGGGTCCTTCCCATCTCTTAACTTTCCATGTCAAATACCAGAAATCAAATATCTTGTTTTCCTTCCTGCTTGCTTTTGTTCTATACATTGGTCTGTAGGATGATTGATGTACTGGGAACAGGAAACTTGTTAAATAAAAATATATGCTCAGTTATGTGTTTCATCTAGTTTTTTTCTATGTCATTGTAATAACTTTCTTCCTTCCATGCTTGTTAACATATCTTATACCCCCCTCCCCCATTCCAAACTGAAAATATATCTCTTCCTGCTATGCATGTTTGGTTATAATTTCAGCAATAAGTTCTCATATTCCATGATTCCCATGCCATTCAAACAATTTCTCAAACAATTTTCTATTTTACAGCAATTTTTATACTGAGCTATCCTCCATAATCTGATAAAACTAAATTAATCTGAAATTATTGAGTTAGTCTCAGTTATTTTGAAAAGGTCCTAATGAACGGACGAAACTAGTCTCTAAACTACAATTGTGTTGTTGTTAGTGCGTGGGGGATTACAAAAATCACCATAGAGTGTGTATAGATATAAAGAATCTGAAATTTGCAATGCTAATATTTTGTCTGTATGAATGTCACTTCAACATGGAAAAATCCCACTCAGCCTATAAGCCTAATGGCTTCTTGAGATTTCTTCGCCATTTCTATAAAATACTTATCTATTTATTACTAGTCCCCTTGATAACAAATAATCTAAAATATATTTAAGGTTTTAGTAATTAATATTTATAGTAAATTGTCWTGGCAATTAAATAAATAAATATTTATTACATTTTTAGGACATTTTGGAACAACATATACTCGTAAGTAGTTGCAGACATTAAAGCAATATTTACACCAAAGAGAAGCCACACACTAGGGTACAAACAATAAAAGTTTGCAACACTTTACACTACTTAGTAGTAAATAGTGCTAATTAAACAATAGAAAACAATAGGATTAGCATAATTTAGCAGTATTTAGTGGTATTTAAAAAGCAAGTCGAACTGCTTGTCTTCTAGTGTTTTGCCAGTCTGTCTCTTACTAGTCTGCTTGTTTGTTGTTCCTTCCCTTGTGTTTAGTCTTTTCTTTTTTTGTGTTTTAGTAGCTTTTGCTGCTATTTTCAGTGGCTTTTTTGTAGTTACTGAAATTACTTTTATCCACTATATTCATTTTATGATTTCAGCTCCAGTTCAAAACAGGGCAGCCTATATAAATTATATTTTGGTTTCCTTGTCAGTCACATTAATCATAGCCTTTATTTTTGCTGGTGGTTGTTACTGTAAAAAGGTAAGATGTTTACTGTTTCTAATTGAGACTGAGAATTCATCCATATTCTCATCTTCATCTTATATACAGCAATTTCAAAAAAGGTTGAGTACTAAATACTGCATACTAAATAGTGCATTCCCAGACTAAATGGCACTGTTGGTCTCGTTAATTTGAAATAAAAAGTAAATATGCAGTAATTATCTATCTAAATGTAGTTAGAATATTGTTTCAGATGGAATACAGTTCCGTCTTGGAATGCAATATATCAGTATGCAGTATTCAACTTTTATTTAAAATAACTGTATACCCCAATTCTTATTT